GAGGGGGGGTTACCATATCCGTTAAAAACCACCCAATAATCATTTGTATAGGCTGCCAACACCACAAAAAAAGAAGCAAATAATAAAAGATTCCAGTTCATTACAATCTATTACATTAAGACTTAAGATATTTAGTTTATTTTCATCTAAAAAGATGTTGATATTTAAGAATTACTTAGAAAATACGTTTTATGGAACTTTGTTAATAAAACGATAATAAGGAAGTCAGGATGTGTTGCATTTTTTGATATCGCTGCCTCTTGGAGTAACATAATCTGTCAATTGTTAAATATTTAAAAAGAAGTTAACACAATTTTGATTGAGAAAATCAACCTAACTTACAAAAAATAGAAGATAAATTAGTGTTTGTTGAATGATATAATAGGATTTAAGATATATAAGAAGAACAAAAAGGAATCTTATTACTCCTTCCGTTCACTTTTACTTGGCATGTATATTAAAAATAGATTTTTATTTTTACTTGTCACTTTACGCATATCAAGACAAGATAATATTTTTTTCCCTGTTATACCCACAATATTTATTATTCATTTCAAATTATTTTCTCAAATCAAATAAAATATGCATCAATTAATATGGGTATCATGATAAATTATATACTTCATTTATTATTTCTTAAGAGTGAAAAAGTAAAGTGAATGGAGGAAGTAATATCTTTCACTTTTTAAGACGAATTAGGTGAGTACTGGCAACTGTATTAATTATTATTACAAGATTACTCCCTCCGGTTCAAAAGAAGTGATTTTTTGGTTGTTTTCACACATATTAAGAAATTCACCTTTTACATTAATTAGCTATGAAATTGACTATATTAACCTTTATTATCTCTTCACATACACACTCCTAACACATACTCCAACATTAATTACTCCAAGGGTAATGTAGGAAAAAATAATTAATTTATTCTTGAAATTTGAAAAAATCACTTATTTGAACCATAAGAAAAAGGCCCAAAAATTACTTATTTTGGACCGGAGGAAAGTAATTAATAGGCAGATCAATCATTAATGTGATGCACAAACCCTACGTGTGCGGCTTATTACTATACTCTCTTAAAATTATATAGTAGATTGAAGCACAGATAGTGTATTTATTTTTGTTGGTGGAATGGCAGCTTAAATTGATATAGGTGGATCATTGTGGATCGTTTAACTCTGACCCCTAAAAATAAATAAATTAAAAACTAAAAATGTTGGTGAACCATATTTTTTATTCCCACTCATATGATGTCACATAGCCACATTAAGATTGATTTGCTTTACAATTTCAATAGTCAATCATAAGATTACAAGCCGGCGGGGCGCGACTTATGTCCGTGGCCGTATGCCCAACCATGCTGAGGTGTGATAGCAAGAAACCCATCACAACCACTGTTGATGGATATTGGGTCTTAAGGGGATTGGGTACAAAGGCTGTACCGATAAGGGGAGGGGGA